TACAGGAGTCTTAAGAGTAAACTCTGGACTCTACTGGACTATTCAGGGAGATGCTTGCAAAAGCAGCCTTGTAAACTTAAGGAAATGCTCTTAGACCAGCAGGACTCAGAGAGGCAGTCAGCCAGGGACCTAGCTGCAGTGAGAGGAGCCCCAAGTTTAGAGAGAGGTCCAGGGTGAAAGGGAACTACACAGTCCAGTGCACAAGGGAAGGCTGCACACCATCAGTTTAATGGCTCGTGTAAGTCACTGGAGAAAACAGCAGACTTATATCCTGTCTGATGAGGTCTTAGGTACCTCAATGGTACAGGCAGAGAATTGAGCCCAATGGTAGCAAGGGTGAAAAAGTCACTAGTCGGGACATTGAGTTGCAATGAACAAATGTACCACAGAAATACCACCAGGCACAGTGATGAATTATGCTCCACTGCTCTTCATACACCATGGCCGGCTCTGTGCAATGGCTCCCTGTAGTACTGAATTTATTCATGGAGTTCAAGGTCATCTAGTTTGTCCTGTGTAACACAGGGCAAAGAATTTCACCAAATTATCCCTGTATGGAGACCAATAACGTGTTTGGCATCCATTCTTGATACAAAGACATCAAGAGATGAAGAATCCACCACTTTCCTTGGTAGTTTGTTCCAATGGTTAATCATTCTCCCCTTTAAAAATGTATGCCTATTTTTAATTTGAATTGTTCTGGCTTTAGCTTTGAGCCATCAAATCACCTCCATACTCCTACTCATTGCTCCCGTTTCTACATCCAAGGGTCACGTTAGACTTTTTTGCCACAGTGTCAAACTGACAGCTTAGGTTGCATTGTTTGTCCACTGTCTCCTTTTCAGAGTCATTGCTTTCCAGGAACAGTCCCCCATTCTGTAGGAGACATTTGCTCCTAGATTTCTGACCTTGCATCTGGCTATATTAAAACACATTTGTTGGAAAGGGACCAACTTTCCAAATGATCCAGATCATGCTGTATGACTGCCCTGTCTTCATCTTTATTTGCCATTCCACCAATTTTTGTGTAATCTGCAAATTTTATCAGTAATGGTTCTTTTTTACTTTTACTTCCAGATCATTGATGAAACTGTTGAAAGCAGTAGCCTTAGAACAAATCCATTTGTAACCTCTCTAGAAACACCCTCCATTTGATGGCGATACTCAACTGACAACTGTTGTTAGTGTTGCTAGTGCTGCTGTTCTTGGAGCATCTGTGTATTCTGCACCAGCGTAGATTGTTGATTCAGCACACCTCAGTGTTACTCCTAAAGAAGGCCTGTAGGCTTGGTTCAATGGCGAAGGCTCAGGAAAGGTTTATTGTCAACAAAGCACGGTATCAGAGCCCCACATACCAAGCTGCAGGTTCACTAATGCATTTTCTGCACTTTATTACTTCCAATTTAAATTGATTGCTACTTGATTTCCCTTTTCCCATTTGTTTATATATTTCTAATTGCTGCCTTTATTTCCCCTCTTAACCAGGATGGGCTTTTAACCCGTTTTCCTCTTTTGTGATTGTAGAATTGTGGCTCTTTTGGACATGTAATGAACTCTTCTTAAGCAACTACCAATTTTCATTCATATTTTTGTGTCTAAAGGTTTTCTCCCAGTCAGTTTCACTCATAATATTCTTCAGCTTTGGAAAATTATCCCTTTTGAAGTACTTAGCATATACCTTTCGGGTTGGGTCTGTCCTCTGTTTGCTCATACTAAATGTAAACAGCATGTAATATGGTGAGGGCACATTCATTCCTTATCCTTAAGGGTTCCTTATGTCAGGACCAGCAGATACAAGCACAACCCCAACAGCCTGGGGTCCTATATGTAAAGGACGTTGAGATCTGTGGGTAAAAGGCACTAGTTGCTCCCCAACTGCACCCTTTGCAGGTATGCTGTGAAGGTGTCAGATGCCAGTGTTTTGACTTGTGCAGGACTGGAAGAGGGACTCTAGATAGGACAGGTGTCTATGAAGCTTTTGCATCTCACTGGATTTTATCTCCCCCTTACCACATTTTGGAGGAAATATGTTTTCTCTTGCATTGACCTTTTCTATCCTTCCTGGATCTCAGTAGAAACTCCAGTGTCCTTGTGCATGCTTATAAATATTAGATTTTCTCAGGCAGGAACTTATTCCCTGAGACTAAAGTTTTATGCACATACACTAACATGTATAAAATATATGTACCCACACAAACAGTATATCTAGTTACATTTTAATTATATCAGGATAAGAAAGAGTTAAATAGTAATAGGAGCAAAATATCAGTATTATAATTTTACTGCTGAGGCAGCATGGACAGATGTTACTGAGAGTACAATTAATACTACACTCATACCCTTAAGCCAGAAAGAGTCACACCTAATTCCTGGCAGGTTATATAAAGAAACCCATTATTAAAGACCCCTGGGAAATGAAGGGGGAGGAGTAAAAAGTGTTTTTTCTGACATTATGGTATAACTGAAGGACTACCCGAGGACAAAGAGACATGTGCTGCAGGCTGAAGTCATGGCAGTGAGGTAACCTAATGTGCCAGTGAGTGGAGTAGCTTGGCAGTAGTCTGAGCTAACTGGATCCCTCCTGCCCAACTCACCATGTGCTCACCAAAGTCAAGTTAATCTTAATTGTATTGTATTTCTCATGTCCATGTAAATGGAGAACTGGGCTGTTGCTATGTGATATGTTATGGATCAGATTCATGAAAACTTAACGGCAGCTAGTGGTTACTGAGGATGTGTCTGGGATGCTAACAATGGAGTAAGAACCAGCAAAGCTCTAAGGACAAAATAAATGAGATGGGAAGGCAGGTTGGCTACTGATGAAGCAGGAGAGCGCAACAGCCCTAGTATAAGTGAGAATGCACATGTCTCATCAAGGCCAAGTCACATGCAGCCACGCAACCCCCTTAGCCACCCAGACTGCTTCCCCAGGATCTGTCCAGTCTCCACTGGGACCTGAGCACTCCCATTTCTAGACATTCTTCAGACATAGTTATTCTGTATGGTGCTTCTAGCTATGCTGCATATAGCTGTTTATAGAGACTTGATTCCCATTGGATATGACTAACTTCTGAGTCATTTATTGCCATCAATCTTTTGCAAAATAGGTTCAATGCCCAAATAATTTCTGTATCTACTTGTGGGGGTAGATTAAAACTCCTCCCCCCATGTGAAATGGTGGAGTGACTGAGGGAATTTTTTCAAATTAACTACAGTTTGAATCTTATTAATTTTGGACTAGATTCACAAAAGGACTTAGGCATCTAACTGCCATTTTAGGCAACTATATTCCAGAATGAAGCCCCACTGGGATTTACAAACCCCATGATCTGCCACTGAAGCCAGTAGGTGTCACAACTTACTTGGCACCTAAATGTTTGCAGTAAGCATTCTCTATGTGCCTACATTTCTGCATGTGCACTGCAGCCCCACCCCAGGCCTCTGGATACCTAGGCCCCAGAATGATGCATGAGCTGGGGGAATATAGGCATTCCTCTGCCAAAGTTGCCTGTGGGGATTGATCCATTAAGTGTAGTCATAGCTCATTTACTAAGTTGGACCGCTATAGGGGAGCTTATGTAAAATGGCTGGGTGGCAGAGAGGACCTCCCTTCTAACTTTTGGCTCGCTGGTTAGAGTACTCAACTGGGATGTTGTGAGATGCCCCCCAGTTCAAGTCCCCCCTCTACCTGAGAGGGAGAAGAGATTTGAACAGGGTTGTACTACCATTCAGGTGAGTGCCTACACACAAGGCAAGGGGATATTCTGATGTGGGTCTCCATCAGTCTCTGCTGTTCAAGCTGTTCCATTGTGAATAAATAATTTTAAAAAGTCATTGGAACAGGGAGACTGGATCCTGGGTCTCCCAAGTAGCGCTCTAACCATCAGGATAGAGAGTCATTCTCATGCTTGAAATCTTTCTTGCTCTGGCCGAGTGACTCATTATTTATTTATAGTAGAACAGGTTCAACAGGACAGACTGAAGGAGCCCCCCATATCAGAATATCCCATATATAGCAGGTGAGTGGGGCACTCACCTGAGAGATGGCAGATCCTTTCTCACCTCAGGTGGAGATAGGGCTTGAGCTGGAAATCTTTCATATCCCAGGTGAATACCCTAACCACTTGCTAAAAGTTATGAGGGGGCGTCTCCTTGCAAAAATGGTGTAGTCACCTAACCACAAGAGAGAGTTTGCAGCTGAAAATCCCAAGCAAAGCGAGGTGCTGAACTTCCTGAGTGGAGCAGAGCTTAGGACACCTCCCTCTTCTTGGCATCTCCCATTGGCTAATTGAGATGGGGAACTGCCTAGCATGCTAGCTTTTGCGAATCCCATTCTGGGATGCCTATCTCTCCCCATTCATTGTACAGGGAGCCCCAGTGCCTGACTTAGACTTCATTAATCCCAGTGATTTTCTAGGCACCTGAAAGTTAGATGTGGTGATGCTGAGTGGCACCATCATGCCTAAGTTTCTTCGTGAATCTAGCCCTTTCTGTGCATGCTACTGCCTCTCTTTGTTATGTCTATCTGGTTTCTGGTCACACTGCAGCCAATGGGAGCCAGAATTAAGTCCTTCTCCAAAATAAACAATTAGGGAAAAATAACCATCTGTAATTCCTAGAGCAGCCCTCAGTTCTAAGCATCCAGGTTGGCTATATGTCCATGGTAGTCTTTTTGTTGTGATGTTACTGTCCTGTGTAGTCACTAAACTCATCAATAAAATCTTTTTTAAAGCAACATTTGGTTTAAAAGTCTGAGAGGAAAATGAGTGTTAAAGTAATTAGATTTCCAGTCCCAGTTTCCATGTGAGGATATAATTGGAACATTTGTTCCAATTACATTTGCTTTATAGTTCAGTATGAATTTTCAATAGATAGGTTTGAGATAAGAAAGCAGCAATTCAAATGCAATTATATAAACAGTACGCTCAGCCTGGTATTAGCTTGGAGAGTATAAAGCACAGTGAGAGCTTGTGCTAGGTCACAGCCTCTCCAACTCCACAATGCAGACTCAGGCTCCTGTATTGAGGAAAGATTCAGCTGCCAACAGGTTGGTCTTTGCAGGTTCAGCATTGTTGCAGCTACTGGGTGTTGTAAACTGGACAACATAATGGCTTTGGCTGGGGAAACTAGACGCTGAGAGAATTCAGAGGGTGATGTCCATAAATTTGTAGACACTGTCAGTTCAACTTTGTACTTTGGAGGCTGTTGAGCAGACCTTGGAGCTAATAAGAGCTTCATTCTAGGGATCCCTCAGCATGTATGGGAAAGGTCAGCAGCTCTGGTAGATGGTTGATTGATTTGAACTCTTTACTGATCTGTCATTTGTTGTCATTTACAAGAATGTTACTTAATTACTGGCAGTGTGCATATCTCGCCAACTCCATTCAGTGGGCCTCTAATTAAAACAGCCAATTGGAGTGTCAGAAATGTGACGATGTAGTCTATCTACACAGCCATTTCTTTTCATTCTTTCACCATTTTATAGGACTCGCTTTCTTTAAAGCCAATGGGATTATTTTAGGTTTTGTGTTTGAACTCTAGAGCTCATTGTTTCTTTCATGTGTCACATTTCTTAGATCCTTTAGTAGGGAGGGTTGGGGAAACTTCCTGCTATTTTATTGTATCAGCATTTTAGGACTCATTAACAGAAAGCTCCATGTAATGGGATTTAATAGGAGGACGTGAACATGAGATTTGCCTCATTGTTCCGTGTTTTGGCACCCTGCCTCTGGCAGTCAGTACTATTTCAAATAAAGGACTGAGGGTAGTGGAACTTTGTCAGGTTCTTGTTAGATATAATTTCATTGTCTTTCCCTTTTGTGAATAATATAACTGGTTCCGCAGTGGCTTTTCAGAACATGGCAGAAGGTCACATCTAATGCTTTCTCCTTTGATATTTTGTCTTTTCATCTAGCATGAGTCCCATCTTTCTGATGTCCCTTCTCTTTGGCCTGACTTTTGGGCAGGCAATGTCTTTTTGTGCGCCCACTGAGTATATCATCCACGTGGAGAAGAGAGAATGTGCCTACTGCCTGGCCATCAACACAACCATCTGTGCTGGATTCTGCATGACACGGGTACCAGGCGCTATTCTGTTCTAGGCGGGTGCTTCTATTGTGCCCACTGCTGTGGTATGAACATCTGAGCTCACTCATTACTTCCTCTAGAAAATCTGCGGGACAAACCATTCATCTCTTACGTTATTTACAATAGATAGAAAATCACACACTTGCCACATTTGGCAAATCATTCAGACACAGAGGCGATGTGGGGAGGGAGGAGCCATCTGATGGATCTGGTGCCTATAGCAAAAATGTTGTAGTAGAAGATTGGCGGCTTCTTCTCCTATGAATTTGGGGGTTAGGATGGAAAAGAGGTTCTTCTCCCACTTAATGAGGAACAGAATTTTTTTTAAATTACTAAGCGAATTGTTTCAGTAACTTCTGCCTCATCATGTGTGCAGCTGGTAAGTCAAAGATCACAGTGATGGCAGTACAGTGTGGGGAGAGAGGTGTCTCTTACATAGGCAGGTCCCATGCTACCCTTAGAGCCAGCACCTAAAATTCCACCCTTAAACCAATAGGCAGTCAGTGCAGGTCACGGAGCTCTGGTGTCACTTGTGGGTTTACCTCTGAGCCAGGCAGCAGGTGCAGCATAATGTGGAAATCTTCATAGAGATGTGGAGACTATTCACATGCAGATTTTCAGTGAGGGATCTCAGTAGAACTACACTAGAAATGCAGCCATTACAGTCTGCAGGGAAAGATAACTGCCTTCTGAACACAATCAGAATGACTCAGGGAGGTCTTGAGTCACTGGGTCACTTGTGTATCCTTCAGTAAAACAGAATAACAACATCTCTCTTTTTTTTTGTAGGACAGCAATGGTAAGAAGCTGCTCCTCAAAAGCGCCCTGTCCCAGGATGTGTGCACGTATAAAGACATGGTGTACAGAACAGTGGTACTCCCTGGCTGCCCACGACACATCGTCCCCTATTACTCTTACCCAGTGGCGACGAACTGCAAGTGTGGTAAATGTAACACTGATTACAGTGACTGCATTCATGAGACAGTCAGGACAGACTATTGCACTAAACCACAGAAGTCCTATAATGTGTGAGCTTATTACTGAATGAGGTAGAAATGTACCTTCTGCCCCACAGTTAGCTAGTGGCTATCTATAACTGAATCATGAATAAAATTGTATTTCACAACAGATCTGCAAGTTGGTCTGTAGCATTTTTTAATCTAAAGGAATCCTAGCAAATTTACTGTTGTATCACCCTGATAGGACAAAGCAACTGCAACACTGGAGGGCACTGGTGGAAGTGAAGGGAGGCAAAAAGGATAAAAATAATTGGTGTGCAGGGAGGAGTTAGGCATTGCTAGGGGGATGCGCCCTGGCCTGTTGGATGATGTTTTAAGATGTGGTGATGCTGCTGTGTCATCTCCAGGCTCAACACCTGATTGTGATTATTTATTTTGGATCTGTTCCATGCCCTTTCGTGCCTTCTAGACTGGGTCACTGCAGTGTGCTCATTTCCTCTTTGCTCTCAGGTGCTGACATCCATGTATACAGCTTAATACTGTCTGTCTGAGAGATGCCTCTCCCCATGTGTAGTGTCCTTGGGTGCGCAAGCTATATGTCCGTGGCTTTAAACATCTGGGGCTGGGAATTCCAGAATCAAGGACTTTGCATTGAAAAACCCCCTTCTCCACTTGACTGAAGGAGCCTGAGTTTGTTGAGCTTTATGGCTTATCTGTAATTCATGTTGAAGGGTAAAGGGAGTGGGGACAAGTTGAACCCTCTGTTTGAGTTTTGTTTGTAAAGATTATATGAAATGTGGTTCGGACATATTGGGCTTGGTCACTTCAAAAAAATAAATAAAATAGGTGGCACATGGTCCTCTCCCGATGTACGTTAAGTGGAATTACACATGCCTTGCTCCTCAATTTGGAGTTTACACCCACTCTGTGCACAGTAAGTGGCAGCCTTCTTTTAGGTGCTGAGCAGGCATGAGTGAAGAGTCTGTGCCCACTCGTAGGGAAGTAAGAGTAGGTGAATGAATGAATTTTTGCCTCACTATGAACCCCTGCAGATGTGAAACTGCAACAGGTGGCTCAATGGTAAGCTATAAATAAAACAGACCAAACACGCCGTGACAGGGCTAGGTAGTTTCTAGCAGGTGGTTCACAGCAGGGGAAAAAAGCTGCAGAACCCACTTATGGAATTTTACATCCCTAGCATTCACACATCTATTTTATTAACAGAATTGGAGAAGTCAGAGATGGAAGAGGGCCATTCAGTCCCTTCTCTCCTCTACCCAAACCAATCTCACTCCTTTCACTTATCCAAGGACTGTGGGAGGGCCACGCAGGGCTGCAGCAAAGAAAAAATATGCCTCATTAATACAAAAGGATCACTAGCTTTTACTGCAAGGTGGTATGGCAGGCACAGGGTACGGATGGCTTCTACAAAGTTGCCATTAATGTCATAGAGGGCTTCAAGCTTTCCTTGCACCATATACATTTAAATTGCAGACTGTACACAGTGGATTTGGGGAAGGGGCCAAAGATACTGACCAGTTTATTCCTCTGCAAACAACAAAGAAAAAACTGGGATCAGCCATTACATGAGCTCACTGCCAAGGAAAAGAACTGGCTAAATATAATCAAAGGTAATATTTTAACATGGTTAAAAACTCTTGATTCAGTTTTATCCTCAGGTTGCAGCTCCTAGCAAATTCAGTGGTTGCACTGTATGTTTGTTTGAGGGAAGAACTGGTCTTTTATTGCTGAGAAGTTCAAGTATGGAATGAGTTATGCTAACAAGTTCAAGTAGCACCTATGTCTCTGCTGAACAATTAGGGTTTATGAGCATTCAAAATCCATTCAGGGCTCACTCTATAACCCATATTGTAAGTCATAAGTAGGCCTTGTACAGGATGAATTTCATACTGAGTGCCTATCTAGGATAGTTTGCCTACTATGCATGTATGGTCTGAAATGGCTTCTGTTTTTAGCAGTCACCAAAGCAACCACCTTCTTTACAAGGAAATGCTCCAAGTTGTAAACTATGACTTTTTATAAGCCATAGCCTTCTGTTCCCAATTAATTGTAAAGAGTGAATTAATGAAACAGCATTGATGGAACAGAGAACAAAGAGAAATACCAAGACAGACCTTTCTAGTCCGGTAGCTGGATAATCAAGTGCAGCTAATAGAGGAAAGACTTGGCTCCAAACCCATTAGAAAATGTGTTGTTCATGTTCCCTTCATTAAATATATATATACATATATTCCTTCAACAGCATGTCCTTAACCTCCATGTAAGACTGAAGTCTTTAACCTGTCCCATTAAATTCCACCACCTACTGAAGTTCCAAATCAACTACCCCTAATGTCTGATCACGCTACCCTCTGAAAAGTACACAAAATTCAGTAAAGCAGCAATGGTCGTTTCACATATAGAGATTTATATCTCTTAGAACCCTTAGCACTGGGAGACATTCTCATACACTAACAATATGCAGACTCCTGTACTGCACTGGTTGTTGGTGTCACAAGTCTGACTCTTGGTGCAAAAGGATAATAGGAAATGCCATGAAAAGGAGACGTACAGCATCCCCAAGCTGGGGTGCAACACTGAGCAGCAGCCCAGGGGATACGTTGTCCCAACTTTCCATTAACTTTAGTTGATTAGTAACAGTGTATTCAGGGAACCCCAGATTCACTAAGAATGTAAGTAAATCAATCTGAGTTGCCATTTGTTTCTTGGGTCCTCTCTATATCGATGATTCTTGCAGGTTCTGTTCCAACATGTCCATGGCATGAGGAGTTAGGATGAAAATCTGCCATATTGGGAAAGCTCAACAAGGAACTCCCCTACTCCAATAAAGTAAATGACTTGGGCCTGGTCTACACTACGACTTTAATTCGGATTTAGCTGCGTTAATCCGAATTAATCCTTAACCCGTCCACACAACGGAGCCAGTTACTTCGAATTAAAGGGCGCTTAAAATCGATTTCTGTACTCCACCCCGACGAGCGGAGAAGCACCAAAATCGATTTTATTAATTCGAATTAGGGGTAGTGTGGCCGCACACCACCGAATTAATGTGGTTAAAATTAATGGGGTAGTGTGGCCGCACACCACCGAATTAATGTGGTTAAAAACCGAATTAATGTGCTTAGTGTGGCCGCGCACAATCGAATTTATACAATCTGTTTCCCAAATTCGAATTATCTAAATTCAAATTAATCTCGTAGTGTAGACGTACCCTTGGGATACCAAAGAGAGGAGCAATGACTAATGCTCTGCAGCCAGCCCCTCTCAGGAAGGCAGAGGGACCCTCCTTCCATCATATTTTCCTGAAAATAGAAGACAATATATATTGTTTTTGTTACCAGGCTCTCAAACATGTCATTTAACACAGAACGTTTTTCCCTATACACATTCAGCTTTCATGAAAGAGAGAGAAAAAACACAAATGCAAACTTGTGGCAGCAGCATGTCTATCTAATTCAGAACTAATGCTTCACAATCAATTAAAAGCTAAGAATATATTCTAATGGTAGGAGTCCTTAGATCACTGGCAAGACAGACTTCCAGCCCCATGCCACTGCACTGAAATCAGTGGAATTTAGAAACCTAAATGCCTTTGATCTAGGTGAAAGTGTATTGACATTTATATCATGGCAGTCAGCTAAGAATGGCTCCCACTTGTATAGCTCACCAGTGCCATTTCCCTCATGGGTGCACACAACTGTCGATACCTAGGTGGCAACAATACAATGATGAAGGATATCACCACATTTTTGTTGGTGATATGATGTTTGAGCCGAGGCAGTTCATATACAGGCAGTGGCTGATTCTCAGTACTTCTGCACTGAGGGACAAGACTGTTATTACTTGTGTTTTATCAAATAAGAAAAATGAATTCACATTCAGCAAAAAATATCCCATTTATAAATGAATTGGAATATTAACTCCCTGGCTGTGTGCCTAGTGCTACAAAACTAGTTCACCATTAAGAACTTACTGATCTCCACAATTACACAAAATGACTCAAAGCCACAAAGAGTACAATTTTCAAGGCTGCCCAAGTCATACAAACCCCTAATTAGTCACTTCTGAAAAATATTGTCCATCATCATTCTTCATTTGTTACCTTACACAGTCAACTAGTCCGCTGTAGCTGTCCTCACTTGTTCCTTTGGTTAGTGACTGGAGCCGTGTCTTTATTATTGGAAAATCAAAATGTTCCATGGTAAAGCATAGTGTTGGCTTGAACAGATTTATACAGGCAGGGCCAGGAAAGGACCCCTGAATGCTCTTTGAAGACACACATCTTGTCAGTTATCCATACTAAGATTTTTCTTGCTTTATTTTAGTAGACAGCAGAGACCAGAATGATCTCCTCTGCCCCATACCCAGAAAGATGAAGGCAAGTGTGTTAAATGCTGTTTGACTCCCCTTCTAGCCTAAAAATGTGCCACGTATTTCCACTGACCTGGTTGAACACTGAACAGTTATTTGTATTGTACGAGAACATACGGACTGCAACACTGATCAGACCATTGGTCTGTTCAGTCTTGCCTTCTGCAATAGCCAACACTTAATGCTTCAAAAAAGGCAAAAAGACTATAATACACCTACCAAGATATTCCTCCTCCTTTCCAAATCAATAGGAAGTTTCATTCATGTCTGTGTGAAGTAGCATATATTGACCTTTAATTTCCATTGAGCTTTCCTGGAGCCATCAGCATTCTTTGTTGGGACATCGTAACAGCACTCGAGGACTGTTTTTAAGGTCCCATTGATACAGCCACCCTCCTCAAAAACACCTCTTCACTACTCTATGGTACAGCTGTTGAGGTGCCTATCTCACAGCACAGACATGAAGGGGATTGTTCTTCAAGTGACGGTCCCTATGTGGATTCCAAACGTGTTATAAAAAGCCTCTTACCATCACACGGATTGACACAGACTGCTGCCACAGAGCCAGCCACATAACCAGCTAGAAATAACAGATAAAATGGGGCTCTGTCATCCAGAGACTCCTGTCCTCCTCTGTTCCAATGTGCAAATAATGGAAAGTAGATGATGGAGCAGGAAACA